CGTTAACTTGATAGATTGAGACATGGCACGAACCAGAGTAATTACAAAGTCATACGATATATGTTTGCACTCACTGAGATGCAATTTGACAGTCGACTAGAAAAACATGGCAAGAAGAGAAATGACCAGAAGACGCGCACAACAGCGAACCAGTGTAGCATGTTCATGAATGACGAGAATAAGCGGAATCGCATCCGAATTAAGATTTATGAGAATTCTTATCTTCTGCGGGAAAGATCTTTTGCCTGGAGTGCGAGAACGAGATGAGCATTTTGATGAAAACAACTTGGCAATGTTTGCTTATATACTTAGTTTTAAAATGTCTACAAATTATGAGAAGACGGCTTGTATGACTCATATTGTTGTCTCTTTCATAAAATGAGTTCTAAAGCGGGCAATTGGTTAACAGCAAAACGCGTTTTCTATAGCTTATGCGATGTTGACATCTTCCCGGATGCGATCCTCAATTCATTAAAAAAAACGACAGAAAGCCCTAAAAGCGCTAGCCATACACAAATAAAAAACGACATGAAATCATCCTGGCATCATCATCACGCGTATATACAAAAAACAAGGAACAGGATAAATCGAGGATGAAAATGGCGGACGACTGAAACTGCCCGATTACGCGTGTATGGTTTTGAGCGTTGAGAATGCGAATGATTTAAAAAGGAAAAGCATACTTTCACCTCAAGTTCTAAAATGCAGAGGCAAACAAAAGTTGGGAACTCGTTCTAAAAAATTCCCAATGATTGTTGTTCTGTACAATCTGTTCTAGAAAGTGCAGCTCAACGGCAAGAAAAAAGGAGATTACTAGCGTCTTCCCTAATCACGTGAATTGGAAATATGTGCTCTGCATGTGGTAAAGTTTCTCGATCGGATTCTCAGGATACGGCTTTTCCGAATGTTCCATCTCAAGATCGTCACAATCTGAGCAATTCTCTAAATATGTTCTCTATTCGTTAAATAACTGTGAGACGCCATGAGATTTGCTTCACCTTCATCTGAACTCTTCTCGCCTTCGATGCTTTTGCCTTCGGAGTCGAGTGCACTTGAGCCACGTTTACTTTCTTCTTTCCTCTGCATTTTCTTCATCTATAAATCAAATATTGATATGATAATTTTCAGACAGAAGTAGATTGACACACCCACCTTAGCTCGCTGATTTTGAAACCACACCTGAACTACGCGAACACTAAGGCCAGTTTCTTTGGCAAGCTGCTCGCGAACCTGAAAAGGACAAATTTGTTTTATGGAGCTTTTATTTTCCGAGGTATTATCCATATTTGGTATTGCATGTATTTGTGTTGCATTTCACATTCCATTCATACACAAACAAAAACTCGGCCGTTTATATTCTCAAAAAAACTTCGAGCTAACGTGTC